AGTTTGATAGAACACAAGTTCATACAATATGTAAAATTAGGGGGTCCCTGCTCCATCTCACCATCAGTTTGGGGATCCTTGGCCTGGAAAACGTTGAAGACCCCTGAATTAAGATACTTTGTGCTTTCCTACCTCTGAAACTCTGCACTCTTAGATTCCCTTTAAAACCAAACCTTTAGAGATTATTTAGAGTTTGAATCTACAATCATGTATTGATCCTTGTTCCACGAAAATCAAACTAATTTGCTTGTTTTGTTCAAATATCCTATGCTTTAGTTCACTATTTAGCAGGTAAAAAAATAAAATTAAATAAAAAAACGTTTTTAAAAATAATTTTGATGAATATTTTTTGTCCCCTGAATACAAGACATTTTTTAAGCCCCATAGCCGAAATATTTGGACTCCCCTGCCTATCCTTTTCACAAAAGAAAAAGTATTTTCATTCATACATCCTGCACAAACTTTTTAAGTTCTTAGTTTCTATGCGGAGTCCATAGTTTTCTCCATTCTTTTTAGCATTATTACTAATTTGATCTGTTCATCTTTCTTTTCTTTTGGGGCTGCGTTTAATGGGGTAAAAATGAAAAACAACAAGCTAACCAAATCTTCCCAAACCTCACTATGGCCAGCCAGCCAGTTTCCATCGGTCTCTGTTAGGTTTCACTACAGAACAGGTGGGGACCAGTCTTTATGGTACTGACTAGGGGTGTAAATGATGATGGTTTTGTATCAATCCAACATCCAACTATCCGATGCATCGATACGTCCGCAAGAGTATCGATTCATGTTTTTTTTGTCCTCCTGTCTATTTTTATCCATTTGCTCCTGGACGTAATTCTCCCTCCCGTGCTGCAGCGGCGCTAAACCTATTTTGCCCTCCTACCTCGCTTCCTTTAGCCACTATCCTCTTTCTGCATGCACACACTCGCGTAAACTGTAGTCAAGACAGACATGGCGGATTCTTGAGTATCTAAATAATCAAAACGTTGGGTCAGGAAATTGATACTGAATCAAATCGCCATGATGTGATTTAAACCCGAAGCACTGAGCCGAGTTAGGAAAACAGGCGGCTGTCATCTCTGCAGACCACACATCCAGGACGCAGTGGTGTCAAAAGTACCCTCTGGTAAAAGTTGAAGTATCAACTTGACCTCTTTACTCAAGTAAAAGAGAAAAAGTATGTGCTCTAAAAACTTAAAGTATAAAAATATAAAGTAACCTTTAAAAAAAAAAGCCAGATGCCACTATATGAAATGAAAGCTCAATTTTTCAACTATTTTTAAAATTCTTATAGATAGGGCCAAGGATGAGGGAGGTCTTGTTGGTCTCCATCTCCCGATACGCTCTGTCCGACCTTTCAGACATTTCAACATCTTTTTCTGAATCCGACATTGTAGCATGGCATAGATAATTTATGTTTGCAGTTTGAAGAACACCTGCTTGCTTCTGATGATTTCCTTTAGCTAACCAATGAGTGTTTGCGTTATATGACTCATCCAATTACACTAGTTTTCACTAGATGTGGATGGAGCCAATGATCTGCATTGGATGGAGCACATGACGGGAAATAAATATTTATAAACATTAAACCGAAGCCAAGAGTAACAAGTAATGTTTGTTTTAAAAATGTAAGGAATAGAAAGTACAGATTCTTGTGTGAAAATGTAATGAGTAGAAGTCAGAAGTAGGAAGAAAAATTAGTAATGGAGTAAAGTATAGATTACTCATAAGTGTACTAAGGTAAAGTAATGAAGTACTTGTACTTCATTACTTGGCATCTCTGCCTGGATTAAACAGCCTCCCTCAGGATGAACCTTTTCGGGTTGGGCTAGCAAGACATGGCAAGAAGATCTGTAAACGTGGACAAAACAAATATGGTGGATTTTAATAATTATACATTCACAGAGTTGGTTAGACCTACGGGCTGCCGCTTCACAACCGCAGATCTAATACATTTGTGCATCCATGTGGGCACAGCGTTGAATTCTCCATAGACTGAGGTCCGGTGGTGATTGCATCAGAATTATAGCTTCAATTACTGTAATCATAAAAGAAAAATGTGATGTTATAAAATGAATCAGAGTGGGAATATTGAACTTTAAGACCTGTGATGTAATCAGAACGAATTATCAACTGTAAAACTACACAGTCAGTACCAGACTGGAAAAATGATCTAGAAATAAGTAAAACTGTCAAATTAAGTGTATTTACCCTTAACTGGGGTAGGTAAATGAGACAGTTTGCCCAATGGGATGAGCATTTTCACTTTTAGAATAGTATAATTAGATAATATTCACTTGAAATAAGACAATGCAATTGTTTTTTTGTTTTTTTTTTCATTTTAAATGTAAATTGTCTCATTCCATTGGCAAAATGTCTCACTTTCCTCCTCAATTCAACTTACTTAGACTTTAATGTTTTGCAGTGCAGACTGGCTCTTGGAGGACAGGTATCGTCTTAAATATGTTAGAAAATATTTCCAATGTTTACAGATGTTATGTTTTTATCTGCTTTGTCGTCTGCATCCTTTCAAAATCATCCATCAGGTTATTTTATAGAAACATTTAAAGGCTCTAAAGCAGCGACTCTTATTTTCCACCACTGCAGTAAATCATATGTGATCTTGATGTCTGTTGAAGATGGCACTAATCTCTGAGGAACATTAAAGAAGAGCTCTTCCTCCCTGAACTCTACCACCAGTTATCTCACTTTGATCTTTTATTTACTGCAGAAAAATGCCAACATTTCTGCACAACTGTTATTCAGTTTGCTCGCTTTAGGGAGAATTGCAGTGATTCAAATGCTCTAAATCACGTGCATCAATCACAGGAGTCCTTTTTATTTTCCTTACCATGTTTTATCACTGAGTCAATGTGTGTGAGACATCTCAACACAAGCTGTGTGTGTGTTATGTCGGTGTTATCTGCAGAGGGGAGTGTAGATTATGTGTAGGGAGGCCGCTCAAGGAGGAAGGATTTGATGGATAACTGTTTAAATAGCTTTCTCCAAATATATAGTCTGTAGGAATGCTCTTGAGCAATTATGTTAATGGATGAACATTTTGAAGTCTGTCATAACGCACCTCAAGACATTTCTGTGAGGGTCAGAGCTGTTCCAGGATTAATCCACTCTGTGGATTCAGAGAAGTCAAGAGGAGCGTTTGTTTTTCACCCAGCTGCCTCCTGCAGAGAGGTGCAGAAAGCCACTGGATCAGTGTGTGCGTGTTCTCATGCCTCTCTCTCTCTGCACTCACATGCCTGCCGCCGTTCTACACAGATTACACGAGTAGGGCCCCCGAGTCAACCTGACTTACAGATAGGCTATCTGACATGGAGGCCATCAGAAATCCACACCTTGGCGCCTCCAACACGCCTTCAGTGTGATGAAACCGATGAGCCGTCACACGTAACTTACACCCACACATACAGACAGCTTTCCTGGCTTTGTTATCATTCATGAAACACTCCTTTATTACCCTGAACCTCATGATGGCCTAATGTGTTCATCAGAGGAAGGTTCACATCACTGGAAGGAGGGGAAACAGCACATGGACAACGCTACATTAACATTTCAGACAATATTTATTCCACGTCCTAACGACGTCTGTTGGACAAATTTTAAAACAAGTTAAATGTAGATTTTTATTCAGATATATTCTTTTTTTTTTTTTTTTTTACAATTTGTTACACATTATTTAACTATCTATTCTTATTTTATGACTCTTTTCTGAACTTTTGAACCTAAAGCTATAATTCTCATATCAACACTAGATGTGTTTTCATCACTACCACAAAACAGTTTCCTGTCCATATATATATATATATATGTTACGTATGAAAAATGTATTAATTGACTGTTATGATGTGTGCAAAATAGCTGAAGCTAAGTGCCTTTCTTAATGTTTTTTCCACTGGATTCAGTCCTTTTTTCAATTACTTTTTAACTGGATGCAGGTATGAACTTTGACTAGGCCATTCTAACACTGAATATGTTTTGCTCTTATTTACACTGTCGATCTGTATGTTGCAGGCTCTTGAATTTTAAGTCTGCAGCTTTTAACTAAACTGTCCTCAGCTGCAGTCATCTTCACATCATCTCTGAGCAGCTGTAACTGTTACCTGTTGAAGGGAAGCATCCTGCCAGCATTTTCACTTTTTTAGTTGAGTTTTATTCTTCTCATTAGCAGATAATGGATTAAACGGAGCTCTGGGAAATTATCAACATAACATATTGATTTATAACCTAACCCTGTTTTAAACTTTTCCAACACTTTCACCTTGAGTTTGTCTGTTGCTTCCCTTGTTCTTTATGATCATTTTTATTCATTAATACACTCTAAGGCCATGAAAAGGATTGGATTAAAACTATCTGGTACAATAGTGAGAAAATACCAGGAAGTATGTGGATATGGTGGTACATAATACAATTGCTGCCTCCAACTAAAATAACACTGGAAAAAAAAAATCTAGACTGACAGAAGCTGACTTGATTTTGACCCCTTTCTGCAGAAATGTGCTTGCTGCTGTTGTGTTTTAGTAGTTTTTTCTTGTGGAGGTGATGAATAAGGTGACGAACTGTTGAATAAAGGTGTTCTTGAAATGTAAGTCCTTAAGATGCCAGAGCATCATTAGTTTTCTTCACGGTGGAACCCCTGATTGTCCATCCCTTGGCTCTGTGCGTTTGGCCGCTCGGCCTTCTTCTGCAGTGTTGTCTCTGTCCACGGACCATTAAGTGGGTCTGCAGTTTGCTTCAAGGGCTGCGATGAGGACCTGTAGCAGAGGAAGATCACCCCACTGATAATTAGTAGGATGGAAGCCATGATGCCAACTGCGATCGCTGCTCCAACACTCTGCCTGATAGGCGCCGCAGGGAGGTTGAACTCTACAGGAAAGTCGATGGTGTTGTTCTTTAAAACGGAGGTCATGTTCCACACCAGAGGCACCAAGGAGAACACTGCTGTGATCAAATATAGAGCCCCAGACAGGACAAAGACCGTCCTCATCTTCCTGCGGTCCTCCACCGAGAAGTAAGCCATCCTCATGGCCAAAGCTGCACTGATGTTGCCCACCAGGCCGGAGATCACCGCCAGCATCATCAGCACCTGAGCCAAGGGGATCTCAGGTGGGAGGAAGCTGTCTGAGATGCTGATGCTCTGGCAGTTCTCAGTGTCCGGCAGGATGTGACTGTAGAAGCACGCCCTCCAGATTCCCACCCAGGCCACGCCTGAGGTGATGACAGTGGCGTCCTCCACGTACCAGAGCCGCCACTCGTTGATGCCGGATGTTACCATGATGAAGAGCCATGCCAGGACCCCGGACAAAAGTCCCAGGAACTGCCAGTGTGCTGTGTGAGCCAGGTAGATCATCCCTGATCCTGGGGGGCTGCTGATGCTCAAAACAAGAGGCTGCAGGGTGCCATTACTGCTGCTGGACAGAAAACAAAGCAAGGTTTGAAAATCACACACATACGCCTTAAAAGTTCACATACCGACTCAATGTAAGCCCTCTGAGTCGATACTTTATAGAAATCTGACTAGAGTATCTCTGAGCAACATTTTTCTACTCTCTACACATTTAGGTGTATATCTGTACTTTGACTAGGCCGTTCTAAAGCATGAATGTAAAGAGCCCTGTTTCAGGATGAGACTCCACCTCAGTCTCAAGTCTTCTGTCGTCCCCATAGTTTTTCTAACCGACATCTCTGAGCAGCTTTTCTGCTGCTGGGGGGGTGGGGGGGTGGACTTAAGGAGATTCTAAGGGCCCTTGATTGAAGAGGGGCCCAAAAGAAGAAGAAAAGATATGTCCCGCTGTATTTTTCAAAACATACACTGCAAAAATGAACTAGAAATAAGTAAACATTTCTTAAATTAAGTGTATTTACCCTTGATTTGAATAGGTAAATTTGATAATATGCCAATGGAATGAGCATTTTTACCCTTACAATAAGACAATTAGATAAAATTCACTTGAAATAAGAAGATGCAGTTGTGTTTTTTTATTTTAAATCTAAATTGTCTTGTTCCATTGGCAAAATGCCTCTTTAATCTCCTCAATTTAAGAAGAAATACACTTAATTTAAGAAATGTTTACTTATTTCTAGTTCATTTTTGCAGTGTATGTTTTGAAAAATACAGCGGGACATATCTTTTCTTCTTCTTTTGGGCCCCTCTTCAA